GCGTGGCGGTGGTACCGGGGGGTTTCAGGGAGCGCTTGCAGAGGGCGACCCAGCTTTGCGGTGCAGGTTTCCTGCTTTCTGCACGCACAAGCGCAGCATCCGGTATAGGAAGGCAAAAGACACTCGGGAGGCGATTTAAAGGCACACTGTAAAATGTATTAGGGTGTAGAGGATGAGGTGTCCTTACACAGAGTGAAGCAGCAAGCCCAGGTGGGCTCGTAACCAGGTCGGCGGGTACATCTCAAGTTGTACTTCTGGTTCTTCTTACTCTGCTTTTCAGGAGACGCTAACTCAAATGTTCACTAACTCTGGCAAGCTGATAATAAAATTTAAATACAAGTGAATGACAGTTAACAGAGATCCCAAGAGGCAGTTCCTTCTTACAGCTGCCTTGGCTTCTCAGCTTTTCTCTGCTGTCGCTGAGAATGCTTCCACCATCCCGCTCCTTTAGGAAAGAGAGAAGACAGCTTGTACAGTAACGTCTTGCTGCCACACATGAAGCCATCCTCCATTCGTTTTCCTTAGGAATCAGCACACAGAAAAGAATTATCATGAGGAAACTTACGGAGGTCCAAGGGGGGAAAAACAGCTGTTCTGAGGTGTCTGTCGTAGTACTTGTGTTGCTAAAGGATGAACAACAAAGCCTAAGCAGCTAATGAAGCGTGTGCACTTTAGACTGCCTCAGAGTTCCAGGATTTTAGCACCGAAAAAGGATGAGTTGGGTTGATGCTTCTTCTGCTTTCAGGATATTTCTGCAGTCTCAATTCCATGCGGATGCTGTGAGCATAACGAACTGTGAGGCCAACTGTAACACCTCCCGTGCCTTGTATGATTTCTGTCCTACAGGTTGTCCAATTTCTTCAAAATATGTAGGAGCTCTGAAACATCCATCCCTCTGCCCAGCAGCACAAGAAGACCCCCATGCTTTCTAAAGGAAAGGAGCACAGTCAACCTTATTTCCTAAACCTTCCCTTAGGACGGTAGCTAGAAAAGTAACTTAGGTCTATGTTGACCTTTTCATTCTCAAAAATACAATTCAAAGAACATAAAATTTAGGCACTTCTTGACAATTTAATGATGTGTTAGTGAAGCTATTTACTCTTAATTAAGGACCCTAGAAAATTCAGATAGATGTAAATGTGGTAGTTACTATGATGGAGAATTAGCTAATTGGTAGAGGTACCCAGGAATAAATTTTTACAAAGTTTTGGGTTTTTTTTTCCCAGGTATGAAGCACTGTGCCCTGTGAAACTTACTTGCTGTTCTCACCATTGGAGGATGGCTGCCCTGCTCTGTGAAAATTGTTCTGGTCAGTACCACTACACCCAGGTCACTCAACCTCTTGAAATCAGCTGCATGTTGCTCCTGGTTATGCTTGGAAAAGTGTTCCTGGATTTCTTCATGTTGCAAGTTAAGCAAAAAAATGTGAAAGTTAGTTTTATGGGCTACTTCTGTGTTTCACTGGCACTCCTCGATTTCACGCTGCTGCTGAGTATATCCTTCATTTTCTGTCTGGAGGACTTTGCACTCTGGGGTGTGCGATTCACAAAGTACCACATTTGCCTGCTGACTCAGATCGTTTCTCTTACCTACGGGATTTTGCACTTCCCGGTCTATCTTGTGGCGGGTCTGGATTATTACATGACTATAGCCCAAACCTCTCACTTCCCTAAAAGAGGCCAAAGATTACTTTACGTATTTGCTGTGGTGGTTATATGGATTTCAGGTTTTTTTTGTATTCTGAAAGTTCCCGCTGTCTATGAAGAACTAGAAATCCAGAACCGTTTCTCTCCGTACCAGTGTCCTCTCTACACCAGCGTGCAGAGCTACTCGGTCTCGTGTGCCGTGGTGCTGCTCGTAGGCACGGCTCTCGCGGCTTGTTGGAGGGAAGCTGTCGCCATGCTGCTGTCCGTCAGGGTCGTTTCCTTCGCCAGCCAGCCCGTCCTGATGTTCTGCCTGTCCAACAGCAGCAGCAGCACTTGCTTGAAGCGGCAGGTCCTGACCAGACTCCTCGTCTGTTTTCTCGGCACGTGGGCACCTTTTGTTCTTCTTCAAATCATCATTTTGTTTCTCGGTGCTCGGATTCCAGCCTACGTGGAGATGAACGTCCCCTGGCTGTACTTCATCAACAGCTTTCTCATCGCCGTGGCATACTGGTGTCGGTGCCACGATGTTGAATTGACAGAGGAGATGTGGTCTACAGATCCGTTTGTCAGCTGGAAATTCTGCTTTATGCCGTTTAACAATGAAAACACAGAGCCAGCTGATAAGCCAGGCACAGTAATTGTGATCTGCTAATGAGCTGCTGACTGAAAAGACTGCAAATAAGTGCAGCGTGACAGAAGGGTGTACGCTGGTGGTCTGTGACCGTGTCCTCACAGATAACACAAGGAAACAGCTCCAGAGCTACAACCCATGGAAACGAGTCCGACGTCCACCACTATTGGAACGGGTATCGCAGCCAAGTGTGGGACACCGTGCCCTTCCACACCGGGGTCCAGGGGGCAGTGAGCCCCTGCCCCTGCTGAGAATTTAACTTGAAAGTACGGGTTTAAGGAAAGACTACTACGTACAGAAAACAGGTTTTCAGTTAAACCTTACGTTTATGACTAGAATTTTACACTTCCTTTAAGTGGAATGATCTCAGGTTTTATAGTACAAAATGCAATAAAAGCTTCTTCAAAGCCGGAGCCCTTTTATCAGTGATGTACGTGTTAACCTACTGTCAAAGGTTCCAAGCACTTCTGTGATTTTTGAAGTATACTTTCTTGTTGAAGTGTGACTTTTTATAGGTTTGATTTAAGTTAATTAAGGGTGGTTCTCTCTTTAATGAGAAAAATTTTTTCCTTAATGTCAAGCTACAACTCCTGCAGAAATACAAACTTTGGTTACATAGTACAAAAACTGTGCAAGATGTGCAACTTCCACAACTACAGGCAAGGTGGTGATCCTCACTATTTCTTTGCTGCTGCTCCCCTGATGTACACACGTACACATTAAAAGTTAAATAATTACAGTCAAAGCAATAAGCAACAAGGTTAGTTGCTACACACAAATACACACCCAAGGTTAAAGAATGGCTTAAATTAAAATGTAATTTATGTTGAAGCCAAAATTACTTTTAAATTAAAACAGTTAAATTTGAAGTGGGACTCTGTCAGTTAGGGGAAGAATCAGTCAGGCTTCTAGCAAAAATACCCTCTTAATTTTCAAATTCTTAGTTTTATGAAGGTCTTAATTTTGTAGACGAGAAAGAAATGATGCAGAACCAAAGCAGACAAATGGAAGGAGCATTTATTTCCAAAGCACTGAACTCACAATACAATGTTGTATTGAAATAGAAACTATAGAAGTAAATGATGCTGTGGGTTGGTTAATCGTTCAGCCAGACCCACAGGGAACCATGACATCGCACAAGAATACTCATTAAGAAAAATCTGCAGATAACAAAAGGTGCAATTACAAGCAAGTGTAAGCAGCATAGTATAAGGTGCTTTGTTTCACCGTTTGTATGATGAATTTACCCATTAACAGACAGGTTAAAGAAATTTCACTTCTACAGATCATAACAAATGAGAGAATCTAAAATTCATCCACATGCTAGTTGGTAATAGGAAAGTGCTTTTTAAAAAAATGTTTCACAAAGTGAAGATCATATTTTTACATAGTTCACCGTGTGCTCTTCAGCTGTAAAATTTAATTTCTGGGTTATCATTTACATTATTATATATCAATTATAGACATAGATTTAATTGCAGAATTCAATGCTACGTGGGCTAAAATTTCTTATAAAAGAATATTCCAGTATATCACTCCATAAGAACACACAGTCACATCTCAATCATATATTAATCTCACATTTCTGCAATATGCCAGAGACCAATTATTCTGATATATTACTTCACCCCACCTAGTGCTTCTTTCACCCACATCTGTGGTAAATTTCTTTGGGGTTTCAGGGATGTAATCAAAAGCACATGAGCATTTTTAAACAGTAGAAAAGCAGGTTTGGGGAAAATCTGTTCAAAAGGCCATCAAAAGGACAGTAAATGATCAAAAACTGAATTTTAAAACTAGTGCAAGAAGAGAGGCAATGCTTCGCAACACAGTTTGAAGTGTTTGGCACCACTTATGCTGGAAGGTGATTTGGAGGAAATTCTATTTCCATGCTAAAAGTAGGAAAGCACGTACAGTGTTCACTTGAAAAAACAACCTTAAGCGATACATCACTCCCTGCTCTCCCAAATTGTCATTGCTGTTACTTAGGTGCTACAGGATAAACCGTGTCCAAACACATTTTTTTTTGACACAGCATTTCTTCAGGTTTTCTATAAACCAGACACCCACTGCAATGGGGTTGACAAAATATTTACAAAACCTAATTCCATTTAAAACCCAGCAAATCTCTCAAATACAGCAATGCGCCAGGCATTTCAGAAGATCACGAACTAACTAATCGATCCCTACAGACTCGGCAGGCAAGGGAAAATTCCTCTAAAATCCATTTAACACCAGGTGAAGGCAAAGTTCTTTTCAAGAACGTTACGTTTCAGATGCCTCCGTTCGGCGTGGTTGGTCTCACCCTTCTGCTGAAGGTGGACAGAACTGGAAGTGCAGGAAGCTGGGTACGGCTGCTGACGGGTTTGATTTGTCCGTGTCGTCAGCCTCCCGACCCGTCATTAAAAGTTGACACAACTCCATCTATCCTGGCGTGGCAGGATTCCCGCAGTTGCTGCAGTGCTTCTAGAATAGTAAAACCTTCAAAGGGCTTTACTTTTTTTTTTTTGTTTTTTTACAGGGAAGCCACAACACGCAGCCAAAGCAAGTACTACTGTCCTGCTGCTACCTCACTGTACGACTGTTGCGTTCCTTCTTCCGCACCCTGTGGGAGAAGTGCCAAAGAGCGTCAACCTTCCGGCTGCCGCCGCACCCTCCCAGTAGGTAACAGCGGCCCTACGGGTCGGCACGCAGCCTCCAGCCGCCGCGTCCCGGCCTGCCACGGAACGGCGTTAAAATAGGTGAACGGCAGCTCCGTCAGCCCACTTGTACCCGTGACTTCTGACGGAGGGAGACACCAGCTGTGAAGCGATGGTTACCCCACTGCCCTCCTAACGACTCTGACTTTTCCTCTGTGCATTTTCGTTTGCCTGGTGCTTCTGGGAACTCCCAACGCTGAGCCTTGAGTCCAGCCCTGTAACCCTGAACCCCCGTGCTGTACAACTGCATTGCAGTGTCACTGCCAGAGAGAAAGAGGGGAGCAGCTGTGCTAGGAAGGTGGGAATACCTGAAACAGCAAGAACTACAGACCACCACTGCTGTACCTCCGCTGGACGTTACTTCTTGTGCTGTGCCAGCAACTAATGGCCTTACACCATTCAATACTTTACAGTCTTTAATTCTGATAGGATTATTTGATATTAATGGTAACAGCGGCTGAAGCGTTAACCCTTCATGAGAAACTTCCGTACTTTCCTCATATAAAGAATCCCTTAAAACTCAGCACTGATTTTAACGAGATACTCTGTGTGTTTTGAACTCTAAATAGAAGTATTTGGCACTCGTTAATAACCCCTTCTTTACACACATCTTTCCTGATCAGTACTGGTTTGCCAACACTGTAATGCCCAGACTGCCTCAGGAGGAAGCTGGGTGTGCAGAACAGCTCATTGTTCTTTCAGACACTGACTTTGCAAAGCTGCCAGAGGACGGCAACATCCCGGCCACCAAGACACTGGCCAGGCAGCAGAGGACGACACGAGCCTTCCCACAGCTTGACCGGACTTCACCCGCAAAGCAGATCCGCCTCATGAATCAATTATGTTTATGCTTCCAGCCTAATCCCATAATCAGCAAGGATACCCTGATTCAGTGCCTGTGAACAATACTAGAAGCTTTCCAACAACCCTACGTGACACGACAGTGCTTTTTGTGCACAATGAAAATGCTTCTTAAGTGTCACATATTGCACTTACACGGTGTTTGTGATCGCTATTCTATGAACGTACAATTGTGCTCAATTTGTAATTCTAGATAGAAAAAAAAAATCTCTTCAGATCTCTCCTTTTTC